ACTTATTTTAAAACAATTGAGGTACGAAACACCATTGAGCAAGTGCAATTTGCATTTTGTCGAATTTTTGGCATTTAAGATACCTCCTACAGTCTAAAATATGGGACTGTTTCACGTTCCATCATGCGATTGTAAGAAGTACTATGAATGTACATTGTAGTATATAGCTAATTTTCGAAATCCCAGACCATATTTGTAATAAGAGATAACTGCCAATATTTAGAACCTATACGATAGGTAGACATATAGGTTACAATTGCCTATCACGCTGCGACCTCTGAAGATTTTTTGTTTGTAGCTTTGTCTTTCCTTTCAGTTAGACATTTTTTTCTACCTGTAGCTTTTTCATTAGACCTATTAGCTCCGAGAGCGATTCCTGTTCCTTTACCTAGGTATAACTAGCTGTCTGGTGTTGGATTTTCTGTGAAAAGCCCAATGGTGTTTAGGAACTTTGCGGGTAAAAGAAGGGGATGTAACTCGAACACTCTGCGATGGATGTATATACAGCAATAATGAGACCAATTATCACTTTTACGGGTTTGTAACCTGAACATAGATTCTTATGTTACGTTACGTATCGAATAGAGAGAGACAGTACATAGAATCGCAATCTATCGAACGGAGATATGCGTCCCGATACGTGCCGAATCGAATGATGAGAATCCTACTGCTAGAGTAACAGAACCAGTTTAGCTACTACGAGTACTAATATCTCATGAGTACAAAGACTAGCCTGTGTTTGCATTACCGGTGGTACAATGAGAAACTGTCTCACAGCCGCAATGGAGTTGATTATAAACGCCACCCCTCTACATTTAATGATAGAGAACGTAGCAAAAAGGACAAAATATAGAATGATCAGGAACAGAGTAATCAGACGAAAGTCTATTATCTTTAGGATCGAAGATACTTGGGATATGCCCTCAGTATGAAATGAGAAAGAAATACAATTTTGTGAAAAACTTCAAAACCACAGAACAGAAAAAATGGACCCAAGAATCCATCGTACTTGAAACCGAAAGACATGCTATTCAATGGTATACGTATGGTTCCAAAACTGTAATAGGAGTGTATGGGCCTAGAACCAGGCACTTTGAAACTTTGGGTAGATAGCCAAGCAGCCATCAAAGCATTTATGTAATCCGTTCAAAAATGGTCTGGAAATTGCCTAGAAAAACTAAATGAGCTAGGCGAGGAAAATACAGTTAGTCTCACTCGGATCCCGGGACATAACGGGGTAAAGGGTTACGAGATTGCAGATAGTCTCGCAAGGAAAGGGGCTCAAACACCCTTCGTTGGTCTTGAGCCGTTCTGCGGTATCAGCAGTAATACAATTTTAGGAGAGATTAAAAAAGAATTAAGCAGTAGAAGAACTGATAATTGGAACAATCTCTTAGGGCTAAGACAGACTAAAATACTTATGGGTCAATATACCCAGAAAATATCGGAAGCAAGTATCCGCCTGAGCATAAACAGGCTACGAATTGTAAAAGGAATCCTTGCCGGGCATTGTCGACTCAAAGGACACCTTTGTATAGTAGTAGAAGATAGTGAGTGCAGATTCTGACTTACTGTGTAGCACTCTAGAATTCAAGGGCACTATATTTAGGAGCATATCAAATATAAGAAGGCGATCTACCTAACTTGAAACCCAGTCCAAATTCTACCCATCATCCTTGATAAGATAGGATTGGACGGGTCGTTATAGGCTTCGAAAGTATTTCCTTGCTGCATTAGCGACACAGAAGGGGACACAATAGATCTTTTACGTAACATAGCGCCGATTAGGAAAATAAATAATACTTATGTATTTTGTTTATCATAAAGTCTGTTTTTGTTCATATACTTTTTTAATTTTCTTTTGTTTAGTGTAATGGTAATAAACGGACTTTTGCCAGTTCTGACACTTTTGTATAACTATGCCGGTTTATTTTCTAATGAAAAGGGGCGTAATATTTTTAGTAGATCACGGGCACCGAATATCTTAGGACGGTCCTGACCTTATGACATTTCCGATAAAACCAGAAGTCGGCCATTTTGTTTAAGAATAAGTGTAAATTCGAAATTGTCGTAGATTTGTCCCAAATTGCTACATAAATTAAAGAAATATTAACGTGGCCCTGGTTCCATTGTCACCCTATATACTCTAGAGTGAGATTACAGAACGTCTGCAACTTTGCAGATCTGCAAATATGGCGGACTTACAAATGCAAGTATTCCAAAAAATATCTGCAAATTCGCAATATTTATTGTGGTTTATTACCCCCAACAACCCTAAACCCAAATTTGGAATACGAAAACTTGATATTTGCATGTGTAAGTCAGTCATATTTGCAGATTTTCAAAGTTGCCGGCATATTTGCAGATCTGCAAAGTTGCAGACGTTCTGTAATCTCACCCTGGACCAACTGACTTCTTCTATCCGGTTAACTATGTACAACGCGAAAATTGGCTATTTGTTTCTTATTAAAGTGTTGGTAGTATTTTAATCAATTTTTACTTTCGCCAACAATCCAAAGATGTCGCTAACATAGTTTAATTAATGAATACAGGACACTTCCAAACATATTTAAAATGAAAAATATTAATTTTGGTAAAAACATAAAATGTATGTTTTACGAAAATTGAAATGAATTAAAATAAGGCCCATAGATATACTTTCTTTAAAATACTTCCAGCAGTTTTGGAACCTACATAGGTATCTATGAGTTTTTATACAAGATGACCCATTAGTACGAGGAAGTTCAATAGTTATATTTCTCTTTTATCATAAAAAATATGAGTAAATGTTTTAGATAAAAGTTATATAGGATTTACTTTTTTGCATGTTTCTAAAATACTAGAAAATATACAGGGGTGTTCCGTTACATTGTATATTTTTGCCATAAAATATATTGTTTTTGTAATTATGCGTCAATTTTAAAAATGTAAAAAATACTAAAATGAGATCACGACAAATATTATTAAAAAGACTTTGTTACTGACATTTAATTTAAAATATTTGGTAAATACAAATGGTAATGGTCAACTAAAATCGTCTGAGATCATAAGTTTATTTTTATGTCAATGTGATATTTTATACAACAGCACCAACTTTCTAATCCAGAAACATCTAAAACTTCGTTTTTTCAAACTGAACACCTAGAAATATTATTTCACTATTTTGCATTATAATATATAGGCTTTAAACGCAGTGGCGTAGCCAGCCATTTTTCATGGGAGGGGTTTTTGAGAACTATGGGGGGGGGGTCCATCAAGAAAGTGAATAAAAACAAACTATAGCGGAAACGGTGACGCGAGGACCCTCCATGGAGGGGGGGGGGGTTCCGACCCCCAAAACCCCCCGTTGCTATGCCACTGTTTAAACGTGAGAGTTTTTGACAAATTGAAGATACTAGATGATACAAAAGAAATATATAGGCAGGGTCGGGCCCAAGGTAGGTGGGAGGAGGCTAGCTGTACCACTTCAAAGCCTAGGCGGTTATAGCTCCAAATCCAAACACGGTTGGCAAAATCTATCTTACACCAACTTTTTATACTTAATATTATTAATATAAAACAAATGAGTTGGTTTTATCTTCTCTCCTCCCCACTTACCCTAAAAAAATGTGCTTTGGTACGGCCCTGAATACAGAACTTCCACGCACTAAATGGGCTACCCTGTATATTACAAAAATCATCCCATAGTTTACCAGGTGAGCCAGAAATTAGGAATTATTTTTTGTGTTATATTTGACCTTTCTCGGTCCTACACTCATGCGGCAGTTGTATGTTAGGGAATACACCTCAGTGCAATATTCGAGAATGTATTTATATTCTACTTAAAGAAAATTAAGCATTCTCATAAATCTATCCAAAATATTATTTATGAGAGGTTGATAGGAATGGGCTGATCAAATATAACACCTCTATACTTCCAAATGTACAACTTTATACACTATCATTTGGTATACTTATGAATTGTATCTAGTTGTAATTAAATATTGGTTTCAGATGCCAATAAGTTAAGGTCCAAAATCTAAAAACGGGAGAGAAGTTGCAACCAAAAAAAGATATTACCACAATTTTTTATTTTCGAAAATGGTTAAATATCTCTATGTATTATATACAGGATGTGTACATATATTTTATTTTTGAACAATCACGCAAAAAAGATAGAGAAATGCAATATAGAACAGAAAATACTTAAACAGGCGAAGTTTAACTCAAAAATAGAAACTGTCTATCCTCTTTCATCAATTAAAGAAAGATTGAGCAAGTACGGTATTTCCCCGCGATTTATTAATGACATCAGACGGACAGCAATAGAGGATAAATGAGATAGTATTCATTCTCGCTTGAATTCGTAATATGGAAGTTGTTGCCCGATGTTGAAAAATATCTTTAAGCTAAGCTATTTTCGACTGATGCTTAAATCCGGAAAAAATTCGGACAATATTGTAAAACCGGAATGAAACAGACTATTTCTTTTAGTCAGGACAGTAAGCAATAAACTAAACATGTCCCGACTAAAACGGGACGGTTGGTCACCTCATAAGTTGAAATATCTCTTCATAAGTTGAAATATCTCTCCACAGATGGAGCAAAGATTCTCAAAGCAACTAATTTGGAAGTGCCTTATGAAAGAATCACCAAATTTCAGAAGACTATGCATTTCCGGAGCCTCTAAGATTTTATAAAAGACCAAAAATAGTCCACAATATGTGGTATAAGTTCCACAGGGTTTGTAAGAAATTAAAGACAATATAATAAAAAATATCAATAATAACAAAGTATTTATTAATTATATAATACAAACAAAAATTATCACACTGCAGTGTTCTAAAAATGTATAAATTTTTAATACAATATAAAATGAAATAAGACAATTTTCAATAAAGTTAAAAAATACATAACGTAAAAATTTATTTTAAAATTATATTTTTGTATTTATTCATAATAAATGATAAATTTGAACAAATTTGCATTTCAAGAAATTGAAAAATTTTTAGACAAAGTATTGTTTAATTCATTTTTATAAAAATAACCAATTGTATATCATAACTTTAGATTCACAATATATTATAACAAGTATAAAATGTTTAGAATATATTGGTATATTTGAAATTGCTTGGAAGCATTTTTTTAAACATTAGCCCCTTATTTTTGTGTTACTTCATCGATTTTTACCATGCGAATATTATATTTAAAAAAGTGAGTGCTAATTATTTTCTATCAAAAGGTGCAAGAATGTTATTCTATTTAAAAATGGGAATCAACTGTTTTTGATGAATAATTTATAATAATTTAAGATCTTTTTCAGATAATTTAAAATGTAAGATAGATTGGCAGGAAGCCAAAAAATCGTTTTCTCTAAATATAAATTAAATTGTGGTCAATGGTAAACCATTTTTTGCCAAAAAATATAAAACTTTCAATATCCCACTTTTAAAATAGTTTAATCTAATTTTATACCCTTGGTATTCTCTGACGAATACTCAAATTGCAGGTCTTCATTCAGTTTTTTAGCTAGGAAATATAATTCAGCAAGAGCTATAGTTAAGGCGCAAATGATCCCAAGTAAAAGTCTAAATCCGAAATCTAGATTACCAATTAAGAGCTCTATACCAATGAAACCAAACACAAAACCGGCTATAACTGACATTATGAACTGGAAAACAGCTACAAGGTGTCTGTTCATCTGCTTCACTAAAAAAAACAGCTTATTTGTATTAATTATATAAATATATCTATCGTGGGTAGGCAAAGGAGTATGTCAAAAATTTAGGAGTAAATCTAAGTTATATGTCTTATGAGTTGACTTATACTGATTTTCCCACCAAAAAAAAAATATTTTTGTAATTTATAATATGAAATCCAAGTTCAATAGCGACCCTAATAGAAATTATTGACTTATCCCTCGTTTTACACTAAGTATGGATGACTGAAACTAATTTACCCAAAATTTTGACTTATACTCCTTTGACACATGATAGATATGAATCAGATATTTCATAAAATAATATACAACAAAAAAAATATGAAATACATTTATCTAGTTTTTTCCTGTTCAATTAAAAGTGCTTGTATTCAAATTTGATGTGTATGTGAATTATGGACTACTATTTTACAATAGAAAAGACAAATTAAAGCTATAAATACACAAAACAGTAAACTAAAAATTAAAATCGGAGTTGCTTTGACTTTTACTTTTGTGGCCTACGTCAAAAAAAGATTTTGCAGCAGCATTTGAAGTAATAGAAAAGTTATACTTTTCATTTTCTTTTATGTTAAAACAATATTTTTTGACAGATTCAGTTTTTATCCCTATAAAATTACAAATTCCACAAGTTCCTGTAAAATTTTCCTTATGTCATAATTCAAGATCATCCCAATGGATACTCACTCTTTTTTCTAGAATACAAATTATTTCTGAAATAGACAAAAAAGTCAATGCTACCTAGCAAAGGTATACCAAAAGAGTTAAAAGTATGTGAAAGAAAAAGATGCAAGTCAAAAAAGAAATGTCTTGAAGAAGAGTATCTTATGAAATTAGGAGGGAAATATTTGAAAACTGCACTAGAGTAAAGTGAATTATATCAGTAAGGATATATTTCATTGAAAATGGACCCTTTTGGTTATTTTAAAAATACCTCAACATTTTTATTTAAACAAAAAATCAAGATGTATTTATGCAATACCAAATATATTATTCACACTTACATTGATATCCAACAGTATCTTCAGGAAGAACTCTTCTCTTGTTGTCCACATTTTTGGTCATTTTAAAATAATCCCTATTTGCTTGTTCTTCCTTAAGTCTTTTGCATCTTTTATCTAGCTCTTCATTTCTAGGAATCTTTTCATTTTTTGGCAAAATAACCTCTGATCCTTCTATTAGTTCATGAAGCCAAATTGTATCATCATTATTTTGATTTTGTTTTTGTATATAGTTATGAAGCCAGTGTAGGTCTTCTAAACTAAGTAACTTATCTGTATCAGTAACTGTCGAGGCTTCGTTCAAAGGCAACTGTGTAAAAATGTCTTTATCAACATCTCTGGTAATAGTTTTTATAAATATTTCATCTTCTTCATTTATGAGTTGACAAATTTTGGGGGATGGTGATTTGTTCACATTTTTAACTTTATGTTTATAAACAATATTACTTATTCCTAATGGTAGGTCATTGGTAATTTTAATTTTACTTATGAAATCTCGTAAATTTTGTGAAGGTTTAACAGAAATTGATGAGTTTACAATAGGACCAGTATGTGATTGAGACATAATATTAGAAAATAAGTTAAATTAAGATCTTGCGTTCAATGTCTTCATAAACTTTAGAAAGTTCCTCTTCTTTGGTCTCGTAATTTGTATTTATTTCTGAATATTTTGATGTAATATCATCCATAAATTTATCCCATACTATTTTTCTTTTACTTCTTAAATCTTCAAGAGTATTATCCTAAACAACAAATTTTTAATTATGATAAGATATGAAAATGCTTAGGTGGATAAGTAGGGGTCGGGATGCATTAATGAATATTGGGGTTTTGTTCAGATAAATTAGAATATCACTCTTGGAATTAAAGTTTAGGGGAAACATAAGAGATGTACGTCAAGGAAAACCTAATCATATAAAGGTAATGCTCACGTGTTTATATTTTTCTTCTAGTTTAGTAAAATTGTCACTTAGTTGTACTGCTATCTCTAGACTTTCATTAATCTTGTCTATCTGAATTGCAGCTTGCTTAAGCCTATCAATTTCTGTATCTTTTATTTCGGTAATAACTTCTATTGCTTTGAATAAATTATCAACTTCTGTGTCCTTTCGTTTCTGCTAAAATCGTAAGATTTTTCTAAATAAATAGAACATAACCTTCAATTTTGAATTACCTCAAATTCACGTAATGTAAACGCGATTTCTCCAATTAAAAATCCTCTATGATCGAATAATCTGTCCCATACTTTGCTAACACCTAGAAAATAAGGAAAATTAGACGAAAATAATTAAAAAATATGTATTTTAACCGCACCCTTGACAACATCCGTCATTTTATGCTAGTCACATTATAAATGTCATGTCAAATACAAATAATACAATTTTTAGGCAACCAATTCAACAACGCGTTGTAATTTGTGTTGCCTCTATATATTAGATGAGGAGCACTGTCGCCACTATTAGAAATTCAATTTCCCAATGTCATTTATATTTCAGTTTTATGTTTTGGGCCAAATTTCGTAGAACAGTGTTGGCATTAGTGAGAAATATAATAAAAGTGATCAACAATCACGGTATTTGCAGAAACAATACAATGCACTTCATCAATAAAAGGTTTATTTTTAATTGAATAAGGATATTATAATGATTTTCCCAAATATCTGACTTTATTAGAGTAATGGTGACTGTGGTTTCAGTGTTTTTAAAAGCTCCTACGAGCTTATCTGTGTAAACTGATGCTAATTTGACGTAATTTCAATTTGTGAATATATACATGATGCCCACATTGCCCAGCAGTTTTATTACTGTTGCTGATTTTGTTCAAGAGACCAGAGATGACTACAATTCGCCAATTACTTCTACATTTGTCTCTAAAATGCAGCAATGTAGAAATACAATTACAACATTGGAAGAGGTGAGTACTAAACTCATAATCAATATACTTTCCATTCTGCAAGTAGTTTTATAAAATTTTGCAATTTAGTAGAATGACACACTTTTGGCAACGACCTATTGCTTTTTTTGTTTACATATAATTCTATAAACTTAATTTTGAAACTGGGGAATTTTGTAATTTTATCAAAGGATGTGAGATAGGTACTATGACTTCCTTTAGGAAGGAAGTGATAAAAAATATTTAATAATAATAATGTTCCTACCTGCAAATATCTATTTTAAACTCGGTCTGTCTGTATTTTTCCAAAAATGTTGAATAAAAAAGAACAGAAATTTTATTGAAAGCTATTTGTGGTTTAAAAATAATGTCATCAAAAATCATAACAAGTCAGTGTTTGTTTTATGCAGACACATTTTTAACAACTTTCTTTACCAGTTTTATGTGGGCAGAAAATGTGTGATTGTGATTATATATTTGTACAACCTAGTTTTCAATTTAATATATATTCAAATTGCTGTTTCATTTAAGGCTATTTGTGAGACTATGAATAAATACAGTGCATACATTTCTCAGTTTTATTAGTTCACACAATAACTTTTTTATTTGCTTATCAATAATATCTATAATGTACTTTAACATTTTATGTACATACAATCAATGGTTACCTACACCTACCTACTGATTAAATATTTTAATGATCTATTTATTACTTATTTATACTTATTTTTTATTACCACCTAAGTACCTATTTATATTTTTGATGATTAAACAATTATATTTTAATAAAAAGTAACTCTGTATATAATGTGTATTAGGGATGCACTAATAGACATTTTCATGTTCTTGAACTGCAATGCCCAAATTTTGTCTTCGAGGATTTATAAAATATTTCCTAATTATTGTGCGATTCATTGTTTACAAGCTTATTCTTTATTTTATATACAGACAAGCTTAGATTAAGTCCAGAACACTGATAGTCCCTCATCTGACTGCAAAAAGTGACACATTTCATCTTTTTTGCTTGTTATTTGTAGTTGGGTAAAGGGGTGAACAACATGTACTGTCCCAGTGGTGGAAGTGATCATGTGACCTGTGCAATTCAGAGTAAAATTACTTAATGATGACATTTTTTCCTTTTTTGCTGACAATGAGATGTATGTTTATAGATGTCAATAATAATAAAATAATTACTTCTGTCGTCCAGTTTTGCTACTTCCGGTGTATGGATTTCAGACTCGTGACCAGATATTTATGTTTTTCAACAAAATTACGGATATAGCGTAAACGCATTTTACTCAGTTTCTAAGTTGATATTACAAGCATTTTTGTGTGTCTGCAGAAGGGTTGAAATAGGTGTAAAATCCGAACCAGAAGTTCAAAAGTGGTTTGATTGACCTCAAAATGATTCTGTGACATACATATTTTTTTTGCAAACATTTTTTATTTAGTAGTTCTACCCAATTTAATCTTTTATTTACCCCATGTGTATGAGAAAAAAAATGTCAAAATAGTCACTTCCATTTGCTTCATTTAGAGAAACAAAAATAAAAAAGGTTGAATGTGGTAAAACTACTGAATAAATTTTTTTTTATTTGAGAGTTATACAAACATTTTGAGAGCACTTAAACCACTTTTCAACCTTTGTTTTCGATTTTACAATTATTTCAAAAAACAGGCCACTTTTAACAAGGTTGTAGTTTTTGTTGCACATCAACCCTTTTGCCGATACAAAAAAATCTTGGAATATCATCTTAGATTTAGAAAAAGCGTGTTTAAGCTATATCCCGAATTTCATTGAAAAGGGCAAATATCTGCCCACATAACGAAATCCCTACAACAGAAGAGCAAAAACGGATGATTTTCTTATTGTTATTGATGTCTAGAAGCATATATTTCATTGCCAGCAAACAAGGAAAAACATCCATCGATTAACAACTTTACTTTGAATTTTTTCAGGCCAAATGACCGCTCTCGCCATCGGGACATAGTACATGTTGTTTACCACTCCTCTGTACCCAACTACAAGTAGCAAGCAAAAAACACGACATGTCACTTTTTGCAGTCTTATGAGGCCTCTTTGTCTTGGACATATTGTATTTCCCTGATTTCCCCTTGTTCAGCTACTATTTCTGAACAGTATGGTGCTTTTGACAGTGTTTCTGGGACGGCTCTGTGTCATTGTAGAATGAGTTTTCTTTTTTTCTGCACCTACACTTGAAGGTTTTTCACCAGGCAATGATTAAAAAATAAAAATAGTCAAATTTGGTAAATGTTTCTAAAGTAGGCCTTAGAAAATTAATATACCTATATCGAGTGTACAATTCTTTTTTCTGAACTATCCCAGTTGCAGTAATTGGAAATCGACCTGACTTGGCAGTTCCACCCATAATACATCCAGCTTCCAACATCTAGAACTACTAGATTATTTGAATACCCATTCTGTTGAAAAATACTTCTTTTGTTAAGGATGTTGTGGTGGTCAGAAAAACATTACCTTATATAGATTATGTCTGAATTATATGTAGTCAACTTACCTTGGGAAATCTGAGATGATAGGTATTTGTATGATTTTATTTATTAAATCAGATTATAAAATTCCTAATATCTTTATTGACAAAACACATTTGGGATTTTTACCAAGTGGGTATGACTAGGTTCATGAAATTAGCACGTCAAATGCGAATTTTTATAAAAAAAAAATAGTTGACATTCATTTTTCCACAATTTATCAAATAAAAATTTTCGTTTGTCCACTTTTCAATAAAAAGTTATGATCAAATTAAGAATTCGAGGCAAATTTGATATCAGCACACTTTAATTTTAAAGTGGCAATCGATATGTCCACTTTTGTCCAACTAAAAGTTTCGTTTTTCCACATTTCTGAGAGCCTTAATACTTAGATTTAATTCGAAATGAATTGAGCAAGTCTTGTAGACTTCTTATTTTCTTTTATCCAATCCTTATTTTCATGTGTAAAGTTGGTATCTCAATATCTTATGCTTTAAGGGGAGTTTTTATGGCATCAAACATAGTTCTAGAGTTCCTGATACTTTAAATCAATAGTTCTGTCGAATTTAATACTGAAAACTGCAATTTAAAAAGTGAGATGCTGACTACCAGTTATAATAATAATAATAATAATAATAATAGTTTATTTGTCCTTTAGGATCATGTTACATGATATAGGATAAGTCATAATATATATGAATAAAAAATATTAAAATACAAATATAGGTACAGTATACAAAAAAAAAAAAATATATATATATATATCTAAGACATGCACATTAAAAATATACAATTAGAAAAACATTTACCTTAAAATATGGTGGTATTCAGATAAATTATAAAAACATGAATCTACTAAATAGTTTTTTAGTTTTCTTTTAAAAGGTTCATATTTCTTTTCAGATTTAATGAAATCAGGGAGTTGATTAAAAAATTTAATTCCAACAAATTCAGGCGATTTCTCAAATAATGCTGTTGAATGTCTTGGTGTTCTGAATAAATTTGCATTCCTAGTTGAGTATTCATGATAATTTGAATTTTGTAAAAATTGGCGTATGTTGCGTTTAGCATATAGCAACGTTTTATAAATGTAAATACAGGGAAATGTTAATATTTTAAATTTTTTGAAGTTATATTTACAAGTTTGCATTAATTCTAGATTAAAAATAAGCCGGATTATTCTTTTCTGTAAGATAAATACTTTAGATGCATTGACTGCATCACCCCAAAGAATAATGTTGTATGATATATGAGAATATGCTAAAGCATAGTAGACATTAAGCAGTTGCTCTTGGGTAAATATTGATTTTAATTTTAGTATTGCATAGTATGCGCTGTTTAATTTTTTACAAACATTAGATATTTGGCTATCCCAACCCATATTGCTATCAATATGTATGCCCAAAAATTTTGTAACATCTGAGAGCATAATTTCTGCATTATTGACATTTACTTTACAATTCTGGGTAATTTGATTTCTGGAGTAGAACTGAAGGCAAACGGTTTTGTTTGAATTAACAATTAGAGAATTTCTATAACACCATGATGTAAACTCATTAGATAAAACATTTAATTTACTAATTAATTCATCTACTGATTGTGCGTTGGTGGCAATTGTTGAGTCATCTGCATATAAAATTATGTTTTCTGAGTTAATATGATTAGGCATATCATTTATGTAGCATAGAAAAATTAGAGGTCCTAAAATTGATCCCTGAGGCACACCCATATCAACACTTTCTAGTTCAGATTTACAATTTCCAACTTTGACATAGATCTGTCTGTTATTTATATAAGATGACAACCAAGACAAAAAGTTACCTCTAAAACCAAGCCCTTCCAATTTTTGAATAGCGACATCTAAGTTGATTGAATCAAACGCCTTTGACAAATCAAAGAAAAGCGCACCCACAAACAACTTTTGATCGATAGAAGTATGTATGAAATTAAAAAGATCTATTGCTGCACTTTCAGTAGATTTTTCTGGAAGGAATCCATTTTGATTTTTGCATATTATTTCATATTTTTTAAGAAATATTAGCATTTTTTTGTGGACACACTTTTCAAAGATTTTGCTTAAAATTGTAGGCACTGTAATAGGTCTATAATTATCAATTAGCATCCCATTATAATATATAATAAATTAATAGTAAAAAAAAAATATTTTTAAAAACAAGCTTTTATGAGTCTGCTATATTGAATTTAGAGTGACATCATTTTATTTTTGTATTCTTCTCAGCAAACCCTTTCATTTGATACCCATATCATAATGGTAAATAAGAAAATTTTTCCGCCTTTTGAATTTAAGTAGTGTGACGTCATTTTATTTATGTTTATCGTATTCTTCTCAACAAACCCTTTTAATTGATACCCATATCATGGGGTCGCATAAAAAATAACTAGTGGGCCATCTTTGGGAGTTCGCCATATTGAATTTAGAATGACCTTACTTAGCTAACCAGTAACCATGCATTGTAATCCAAACTACACATGCATGCAAAATTTCAGCT